AGCTGCGATTCCCTAAGGGTGTCAAGTATGCAGTCCAAAGTGGTATCAACTAAGTAGTCTACGCTTTTGATATTAAGCTACCAGACAACAGGCTCTAAACTAAGTTTTCTTTGAATCTGTTTATCTTTTTTGCCTTGATGATTAAAGCCAAAAAATGGGCATCATCTTGATTGTTCAGTTTGATTGGAGACAGCACTTCTTTAGTATTCCAGCACCAGAACCTCTTACTTGTCGACCAAAAGTCCACCAAGTAGAGATTTTCATTAATAATATCAGAATTACGGCATGTGGCAAGCTTTGCTCTTCGTTTAGCACCTTACATTGAAGATCCCATTCAGATTGAAAGCTGTTGAACACGTTTTCGTGAGATAGAGATATTACGATGATTTTGTTTTGCTTCGAGCCGATTCGCGACAAGTATCACAGCAGCTGAAGCCTTCGGCTCGCTTGTTTTTGAGAGAATGCAAGATTACCCTGATTTTGCATGTGAGTATTTTTGACGACGTTATCATCAAGGAATATGGACTTTCGGAGGTGGATTATTCTTGAAGACTCAGAAGGCCAAGTTGTCAAATAGCTGAAGCACTGATTCTTGGTTCTTCAAGCTACATATAAATCGAATATGCTACATATATATACCGTCTGCCCCAATCCCAACCAGGCCAAAATCAGCATGGCGAGGTCCGTGTCGGGATGGTATTGCTATCTGGTCTGGTTACGCTATCTGTCTTTCCTCAATCTATTTGCTCTCTGCGACAACGCGCGTATGCAGCGCATTCTCTAGCGCTGCGAATGCACAAATTCATCCGACGGTTCGGGCTGAACCCGATTGGGGCAAACTGCAAAGAGATAGACTATACTTACATCACTAGAAATTCGATAACTTTGAGGAAGTGATTTGTCGCTTTGCTAAAAAAAATAATTCAGGGAATGGTACTGCACCACAGCAATTCAAACTACTTTAATCCTCATATTATACAGTACCTATTGAGTCCAAAGCTGCTGAATATCAGACGCCACAAACCCAGATGAATCGAAAAGATCAGCGTAAATAAAAGCAGCAATTAGTTCAGCTGTACAACTTTAACGTGCGTAAAATAAGTTGACGACAACAAGGACAAAGCTTTTGTCATTAGCAGCTTATGAGGTATGCTGAAAGTGGTGGGACTGAAGACAATTATAGTAATTCACTAACAAATGCTATAAAAAATAGAATAAAAACCATCTGCCTTCACTTTTAGCATTATAATAGGGAAGTTGCTTCAGTGAACATTGCTCACCTGTCTTGTAGCCTACAATATCTTAACGCACTGAAAGTGCAGCTACAAGTTAAGATACGAGTTCTGTCAAGATAACTCTCGGTAGGAGGCTGTAAATAAACTTTGTCTTGAGTACCGTAATACACCTGCAGCACCTGCAAACGTCAGTGATTACGTTTTAGCAAAAAATAATTCCCAACGTGTTTCTTCAAAAAACACTATGCATTCGTTGATCATTGAATGAACACAGCTTTGATGAATGCCAGCAAGGACAACTTCCGCTTCGAACTCATTTAGGCACAGCGAGGATATTTGTACCAAGAGATGTCGCGTCCGGAACAGCAGTTCGTCGGGTTGGCCTCTCAGATCAAAGAAGAAGCGACTTGGAGCAAGGAAGCCGCCAAGAGTTGAAACGAATATAGGATAAGATCACAAGAACAAGTACAAGGCCACCACCACAAAGGAGTCACAGAGGGATAGCAGCGATGGGAGGAAGCAACCTGCAAAATGCGGCTCGTAAACGTACCACGCACGGTCCGGTCCCAGGAACCAAGGTCGCGTGGAAGACACCGATGGACAGGGAGATGTTCAGAGGGAAACCAGAGGGAAGCTCGGAAGCGAAAACGGTCAATCCTGGAAGCGACAACCAGAGCAAACCTGTACAGAAGTATAATACTTTCATTGTCGAGTACACACAGGAACAGGAGAGGCTACGGCAGAAATTACTTGCTGTGGTGCCCCGAATGACGACTGGGCGACAAGTGAAACGGAAGTGGACTCCCCATGTACGTGTTTTGCATGGAGTACGGTAGCCAGTACTCAGACGCTTGTCCTCGGGTGACGGCCATCAAGAATTGAGTGGCTCCACTGGATAGCGAACAAAGGTGTCACCGTTGCTTAGAGATGCACATCCAGGGCGCTTCAGACGTACTTTCAAATTCTTCTGTAAAAACAGCAAGGAGCGGCGAACGACCACCACGCCGCTATCTGCACCCTGCCAGATGAAGCGCTTACGTCTACTATACGAGGAAAATCAAGCACGGATCGAGGATTGCAAAAGGGAACTGAAGGAAATTGAAGAAGGACGAACGATAACAGAAATGCAAGTCACAGCAAGGAGGACCCTGGTCCCTTCTTT